GAAACCTGATGAGATGGATGGATGCTATCCCACAGGAAACATGCTGACATGGAGGCTCACGTTGGTTATGGAGAACAGCACCTGTGTTGTCAGGCAAGGAGCAATCACCAGTTTTATTTTAGGGCTATAGTTATGAACCAGGTTAAGATTTCAGTTCAAAAAGGGAAATGTGCCATTGCCTGCTCCATTCTGGATATCACACAGGCCCCGGTCTTGCTTGATGGATGAAGGATAAAATATGATGGATGAAGGATGATGATGAAATTTATTATTCTACACAGAAGGAGAGAAGCTCCTGATTTTAGCAGTCATATCCCAGTGGTAGAAGTCCTCCACTTCCCTGATATGAGCACAGAGATAAAGTAACACATGATCCTTGTGTTCTGGCTTCATTTCATCCTTTTGCAGAATGGCATTTTTGATGCAAGACTAAAGGCAATGGTGAGTTGCACACTAGAGCTGGCATCTCCTAAGAACAATTTAATAAAAACAGATGGACATGCTGTATATGATATAGATCTTAGGGTCTTTGCAGGGTTAGCATAGGTAGTACCACGGGTCTCTGTCTGGCAAACTGATGCTTCCCTCATCCTCTTTGCCCCAAATAAAACCACCAACCCTTTAGGATCAATAATCTCTTCTCCTGCAGCCTCCGAGGCTGGAGAGCAGACCCTGTCACTCAACAGTGCCAAGGGCATCAGAAGCAATTAAAAAAAATTAGAATTGATTTGAAGAATGTAATAATCATTCATCTAGCTGTGGGGGAAAAAGGGTTTTATCACTGAAACATTAGAAAGAGTAGCATTTACACTCTGCTAAGTATTATGGCACCCACAGAAGTAAGTCTGAAACCTCAAGGTAAATTATTTAATTCTAAAGAACAAGAAAACAATAATGTTGCAAATCAATGCAAGAGGCTAAGGTGGCTAAAAGTGGGCAGGGAAGGCTTTCTGACTCCAGCCTGGGCCCAGAGGAAGGAGCCAAGTATCTCTCTGTCTTCCATGCCTGCCTTTCCATAGCAAGTTTGCTTCCCAGCATATCATGCCCAGCTCATTTTGTAACCACTCCTACAGCTCCTGCTGCGTGTTCACCCCTCACGGCTCTCCCATGTCCTGTCCTGGGGAGGCAGATGTGCCCACTGCAGGGGCAACTTAAATGGGGATGGTGATCTCCAGGTACAGAAGACAGAAAACCGAAGGTGAGTAACAAAACAAGATGTTTGGAGGGAGAGACTGAAAACTGTGGCTGCCCTTGGACAGGCAGTTTTGCCACTCTATGCTCAGCTTCCAGCTGCTCCAACGAGGGACAAGGAGCTTCACTGATCTTTGCAAAGCCTTCAGTAAGTGCCACGTTTTTCTTTCATGTTCTTGGATGTCCCTGCTATAGAACACATACATCAAACCCTGTCCAAAAAAGAGCAATTAAACTGCACTGCTAAAGGGATATCATAGGATGGGCCTGATTACAGCTCACCCAGAAATGTCTTCCCTAGTCCCAGGCTCTTTGACATGATTCTCCCCCCCTTCTCTGAATTTCTTCCCGCATTAATTTCAGCCAGTCCTGGGATTATTTGAAAAAGGGCCTTGGGGGACTTGTTCAAAGGCACTGCCACCACGGACGACTTTGCTTTCTGAACTGAAGCATTTCACTCCTATCTGTCTGGACATATGAGCTGCTCAGCACTGCTTCATTAGGCAAGTTATTTTTAAATTCCCAGAAAGAGCAAAACATTGAGAGAGGAATTAGCATTTGCTGTTGAAACAGCTGCAAAAAAGAATATGCAGAAGGCACTGCGGGTCCCCCCTGCCAGCACTGTGATTAAGCAGGCAGCAGTGCCCAGGCCCTGACACAGCTCAGGCTGCACAGGGGACACAGAAATCATGCTCCGAGATAAGGACTGGTAAGTGACCATCACAACTGTGTTCTGGATGTAAGAGGGTGACCATTAACACTGAAGAGCAAAAAATCTTGGAAATATCCCTCTTCCTCCAGCCCCAGCCTGTGTTTCCCACTTTTTCTTCCCTGCATTTTTCTCCTAAGGATTTTGACTCTTAACACCTGCATTCTGGTTTCTCCACACAAATGAATGAAAGGATAAAGGCTGCCCAGAGTCCTTCCTTCCCCTAAAAAACAACCAAGACCTGGTAGGCACCCGATACTTTCAAAATGCCAAGGGACAGCAATAAAGCTGATGGTGCTCAGTTGTATTCTCACTTTGTAGCATGTGTAAATTTCCCAGTGGTTAATCCTGCTCTTCCAGCATGGAGTTAAGGCAAAAGGCACAGCAATAAACTGTCAGAGGCATGTTTTGGTAGCTGTTGTTTTGCAAAGGCTGATTGCCCTGAGGATGGTGCTGCTGAGGGCAGCCGTGACTCACTCTGATAATGTTCATAATGCAAGAAAAGGGTTGAATACGGCCTGAGCCTGAGAAGGGAGGACAGTTTAGGTGAAAACAGCCTTTTCACCCACCTGGGAGCACACAGGCATCACAGCCAGGGAGGTTGTGCCTGGTTCACCCCTCCCTTTGGCCCTGCCTGCAGCCACAGGGTTTCTGTATTTATTCCGAACAAATCTAGCAGGAGCTGTTCTAATAACCTGCTCCCAATTCCTGCCTAATGAAGGCTGCCAGATTCCTCTGAATTAATTCTTGTTCAAACCAGAGTGCTTCCTTTGGAAAAAAACTATCTCATTAAGTATTTCCAGTGATTCTTTAGTGACAGGAACTCTGCCACAATTGGCCAGTTGTGGGTGGAGTGTTTCAATGGACAGCTTTCCCCATTCCTAAAATACCCAGCAACCTGGATTGATGTCCAACTACCAAACACCACTTCACCAGATAAATCATAGAATCCCAGACTGGTTTGGGTTGGCAGGGACCTTAAAAATTATCTCATTCCACTCCCTGCCATGGGCAGGGACACCTTCCACCAGACCAGGTTGCTCCAAGCCCCGTCCTTGCCTTGAACGCTTCCAGGGATGGGTCAACCTCTGCCAGGGCCTCACCCCCCTTTAGTGTTAACTCTGCCATGTGTCTTGCTAGAGGCTGCATTTCAAATGTCCCTTCACCTTTTGTTTTTTAGCAAATGGTGTTCCTTGAGTGTTTTCTCACTAAGGTGTGTTTTCAAGCCCTCAGAGAAATTTTCCTGGAGCCCACAGACCCTTGTCTTCCTTGGTACCTCGCTTTTCAGTTACTCTTGGCAGAGCATCTCATGAGGAGCTCATCTTCAGCTAATTATTCCTCTTCTGAGTCACTGTTTTCCATGACTTTGTCACCCACCCCTTAGTCCAGCTGCTGCTCTATTCTTAGGCTAATAACTTTACAGCTGGTGGCATTGAAAAACATGTTTTTTAACATGTTTATTTAAGCTCAGCTCATTAAGTGATCTAGATTAGGTTTGGTATCAGTGACCTGCCCCAACTTCTGTGCAGCTCCAGATCACCAATAATGATTTGGCATTTGCTTGCAGGTCAGCAATCACACATTAAGTGTGTGGGGTCAAGATCCCACAGGAAGGGAGCCGAGTTCCATGGTGCTTCTGCTTATAATTACCCTTGGAGACCTATCAGTTAGTTTTCAGTCTAATTAATATTTGCCATATTGACTTTCACCATATTTTGATTGAGAAACAGGAATTATGTAAGACAAAATCATGTAAACTATGACATTAAGAAAAATATCTGGCTAACCTGACAAAGCCTACTTTTCTTACTGTTACAGTATCTCCTTAAATGATTTATTAACCCATTATTTATTAGAATTTATTACTAGTTGTTATTTGTTCTTAGATATCCTTGATCACAAATGCCCAGGAGTATCTTTCATTAACATTTTAGGCAACAAATGGCTGCAACAGATTTCCTCTGGCCTCTTCTCCCTGTGAGGGGTCAACTGCCCTCCCCTGGCTCCCACTGCCCACTCCTGCCCAGAGCCAGGGCCCCACTCCAGCCACGCCCTGGGGTGGCAGAGTTATTTCCCAGTGCTGTGCAAACCTTGGGATCTGTGCTGTCAAATCCATTGGCCCCACAGCTCCTGCCCCACACTCTGCACCGGGGGGGCTCCAGGCAGAGCTCAAGGATGTTCCCCAAACCCCACACGCTGGTTCTGCCACTGCCAGCTCTGCCCTCTGAGAGCTCAGCACTGCTGTGTGGGAACAGAACAGCCAGGGCTCAGGAACACCAACACCTCAGGAACACCAGCACCT